AACCTGAATAGATCATCGACCCCGAGACTGCCGTAGTGGTTCCGAACCTGAAAATGATTCACCATAGTGTCCCCAAACCTGAAATAACCCGTTGGGGTTGCCCCAAACCTGATATTGAGTCACGCCGATGTGTCCGAGCCAGAAATAAACGACCGCAAAAGTCCCGATCCTGAGATAGACCGTCGTAGCGGTACCAAACTTGAGATCAAAGCACCCCAATGGCCGTAAACCTGAAAATATGTCATCGTAGTGGCCTCAAGCCTGAAGCAACTGACGCCGAGCCCATACCGAACCAGGCACACGTTGGATTCTGTAGGTCGCAGCCACTCCGTAACAATACCGAACCTCTTCGAACCATGTATCCGTTCCGAGCCAAATACCGTAATGTCGATCCAAGGTACCACCACCCCATGCTGTCCATGCGACTCCCGCTCTCAGAACATCCCAACTGCGGTGAAGTTAGTAATCAAGCAAACTAGAGAAGGAGACGTAGGGAATCTCGATCATCCGCAGTAGTGAAAACTGGCTCAATCCAGAGAAAATTATCAATCCGGGGTTAGAGCTGATGGCGGGTAATCGAGGCGAAATCAGACCAATCTCACAATAGTCATGGGTTCCTGTCCCTTTCATCGTTTTTAATCATTCTCCCTTTTTCTTAATTCTATTGTCTGAAATAGTAAATTAACCGTAAATTCCCCAAAATTAAATTCCGAGAAAGTTTAAATAAATGGTCGAATTCCTTTTGTTTCTTTTCTTTTTTACCATTTTTAATCCTTTTTCTACGCTTTTGATTTCATTGCCGGGAACATGAAATAACAGGGGTATTCCCCCTAGAATTAAATGCCATGAATAATAAAAAAATTAAGGGATATTATGTTTTTCTCTTCTCCCCTACTGGTCTTAATCCTTTTTCCCCATCTTTAATTATGGTACTAAAATAGACAAAAATTCGAGGCCCCATTTCGGCCCCGGTCGTATGCTGCAAAAACATTGCGGCGGAATTAGTCCCCGCGATGCCCCCTAGCGCCCGGCCAATTCGAGGCCTAGCCCCGGATCGGGCTGAAATTACGGTCCCTAGATATGCCTGGAGCGGCTACCCATTTTGCTATCTTTGAGGGTTACTTGTATGGTTCAGTGCGCCCAAAATCAGGGGTGCCCTGAGTTCCCCTTATCTTTGCTGCCTGGTCATACCAGAGTACCGTCAAAACACGGACTTGTCCCTGAGCCCAAGTCCCAAAGCCGCAGATTTCAGGCGGCGCACTGCTTGTGGCCGCTTGACAGTTAGCCCGGACCACTTCTCGACGCCCCCGTCGAGCCCTAACCACTTACGTCAAACCAAGCGGACGAGCTTCAGGGTGATTGCCCGTAAAGGACGCCCACGTCGGCGTTTAATTGTCTCATGTCTCAGTTTGTTATGAGTTCTGGGGCTAAGAAGATGTTTCTAGACTTTCCTTTTCCTTCGGGATTTTGGCCTTGGTACGATTCTCTCTTTCTTCTGACGTTGGCCCGAGAAAGGTGCCGACCCGCCAGTCTGTTAATGCGAACTCTCCGTCTGACCCTTTTGAGCATGAATAACCATTTCTTGCTTCTTCCTAATGCCAACCCTTTGACCTTCCTTCTCTCCACTTTTTTCCTCTTTTTAGAACTTTCCCCTGCCTCGAGTCGTCTCGAGGGGGCTTCATCCTCCATCTTGGCCTTCCCTTTCCCTTTCGGGCCTGTCAGCGATAAGGTGGGTGCAAGCCTGGGTCTAAACAGTTTTAACCTAGCACCCGCCACTGGGTCCTTCCACTTGGATCCGTTTAATTCTGCAATCATATAGGCACCACAGTCGAGCGCCTCAACCACTCTGTAAGGTCTCATCCATCTGTTGGCGAGTTTTCCGGTCCACGTCCTTTCTAGTGCTGCGTCGTAGAGAAGGACCATATCTCCTACGCTCACCCACTCTTTCCTGATCCGCACGCCCTTATCCCATCTCTCTTTACCTTTGTCCCGCTCCACTGCCAAACGATCTGCCGCTGTCATAAGGTTGTCTTCCAAAGCGTAGGCTAGCTGTCTTGTTCGAGCAGCTATGAGTTCCTTTCTGGACATCCTCCCCGCCCAGTCGACGGTTGTCCAGCTGTCGACGTGAAACTCTATGGGGAGAGGACAATGCCGTCTGAACCACAAGGTGTATGGTGGGTATCCAGTGCTAGCCCGGACCGTGACATTGTCCGCCCAGATCGCGTATTGAAAATATCGTGGTCAATCGCTGTCCTTTCCTTTGCACCACTTGGATAATGACGCTATCAGAGTCTGGTGTCCTCTTCGACTGTGGGTGGTAAGCGGTGGCTATCGAAACTTTCGCCCCGGCTCTCTTGAACACACTTTGAACCTCGTCAGCTAGAAATTCCGCCCCTCTATCCATCACTATCTTGCTGACACATCCATACCTAGATAAGTACTCTAGGACGAAGTTCTTCACTTCCCTAGCCGACTTACTCCTGATAGGTCTACCATCCACGAATCCAGTGAAGTCATCTCGTATGTTCACAACATAGTTCATATTGCCTACTCCTTTCGGCATCTTCACCAGATCGATGTGTACCTTCTCTCCTGGCCTGGTCGGATAGGATGGATGAAATGACTCTTTGTATTTCGCAAGAGCTCTCTTCTGGCACTCCTCGCAGGTTATACAGTATCTCTCGACGTCCTTATATTGTCCCTCCCACCAGTACAGTCTGCGTACCTTTTCATAGGTTCCTTTGACTCCTCTATGACCTTCGACTACCCCGTCGTGAAGCTCCGCAATTATCGCCTGTCTCTCTTCAAGATCACAAACTACTCGTAGGGGCATCCCCGACTCGACTGGCCTTCGGAATAGATGGCCCGCTCTAAGGCAGTACTGGGCCGCTTGTCTCCGGATATCTGAATCTCGACTCTCTTCTCCTGACAAATGTAGCCCGATCGTTCGGTATTTGTCCTCGTAAAGGTTAACCAAGAATCGATCGACGCGTCTCGGCTCCGCCATTGTCAGGGCTCCAGCCACTATCGGGTGCTCAGCCTCCAGAGGGATCCGAGAAAGGCCGTCCGCCACGACAATTTTAGTAACCGATATTCTCTTAACTATGTAATCATAGAGTCGAATCCGTATCAACACTCGTGAGATGGTCGGGTCCGTTAGACTAAAGTCCTTCTGGAGGACAGAGGCGACTGCTGTAGGATCTACTCTTAAGATGAATCGTCGTCCGTAGATATAGTGTCTGAACGTGTTTAGACACCGCAGGACAGCTAACACTTCCTTCTTGAATTGACTGTAGTTACGCTCAGCCGTATTAAGTGTCATACTCTCAAATCTTAACGGTCTTTCCTTCCCTTCTGCGTCCTTCTGAGACAGCAGCCCACCTACTGAACAAGGTCCAGCATCCGTGGATACTATGAAGGGTTTTTCGACCTCATCATCAAAGAACGGCACGCCCAGTACGCGCCCTCCCTCCTTAAATTCATCTTTAAGCTCTTGCATAGCGAGTTTCTGAGAAGAATCCCAGTATAATTTCTCAGTCTTCCGAAGGAGTACCCTCAATGGCTCAGCCTTCTCTGCATACCTGCTTATGAAAATCCGCCAATATCCGACTACTCCCAGAAATCGATGGACCTCTGTAGCACTATGCAACGACGACGACCAATTTAGGAGTTTGTCTAGCTTTGCAGGATCCGCTCGGCGTCCTCTCGAGTCGCAGATAAAGCCTAAGATCTTAATAGTCGAGATGGCCCACCCGTTCTTCGTCCCGCTGACCGTCAAATTTGCGTCGTCCAGCTGCTCGAGTATCGCGCAAATATCGCTTAGGTGCTGTTCGACGAATCTTCTTACTCCTGGCATGACCTCTGTCTGAAAAACGGCTACCCATTAGTCCAACTCATAGGGACGACCATCATTTGTATCAGTCCAAATGGCGTGTGCATAGCCATAAGGTGTCTGTCCCTGGGATCAAGCGGTATCTCGTCATAGCATGAGAACAGATCACAAACCGAATAAATCGACTTGCCCGCGGTGCCTTCAGCCAGTAAGTCGGCGTGAGGCACGGAGCCTACGTCTCGAATCGTCACCTCATTGACCTTTTGAAGGTCCTCGATCCACCTGATCTTGCCATTCGGCTTTCGTAGGAAGAACCATCGATTAGCATAAGCGCCGTCAGATGACTCTGCAACATGAGAAACCATCTTTTCTTTCAGGAAAGCGATAACCTCTTCCTTCTCCTTCAGGGCGTATTTCCGTCCTGCGTCATTCCATGGAACTTGTGGAATCGTATAAATCCTTGCTGGCTTAGCGTATCGAGGGTCAACCCTTCCGCACTCCGCGTCGCTGAAAGCTATAGCCTTATAGCATGTATTAAGGATTTCTATCACACGTTCCCGCTCCTGTGGGGTCAGGTTCCCATCTCCGATGTCCATCCCTGCTATCCTCTCTTCCGTTAGGCGTTGTGGCTCCTTTTTTTCTCTTTCTCTAATATTCTTTGCGATCTCTTCTTCCGATATTCCTTCCAGTGCAGATCGTTCGCGGCCCACGGCCGCTTGCTTAACTTTCTGAGTTACTCGCTTGTGTTACTTGGGTAGCCCCGCATAGGGGGCCGTGCCCTTAAAAAAGACACAGATACCACACTGCCAAATTTCTCATCTACCTCCTTTGGATACGAGTTGTCATCCACTATCAGCCAACTTCCTAAATCCTCCACTTCTATAATCCTGCCTTCTTCTTCTGTGAGCAGAGGTCCATACTTCTTCTCGCGAAATCGCACTGCGCAGCCGGAGATAGGTAATGACTTAATCCGATCACTAGGTCCCGCTCCTACAGCGAGAGCTGCTCTGTTCCTCGGGTCTCCAGGCTCCACCGTCTCTATCATAACCCGTGTCCCATCTAGCTTCTTAATGGACAGTGTCTGGCTCCCGTCCGGTAGCTCTATCGTCACCGCATGCACGTGGCTCAACCACGTCCGTCCCAAGAGCAGGTCAGAGCTGCAGTTCTTGACTGCAAAGACTGGTAGAGTCACTCGTACCCATTAGACTTCTATGGCTGCCTTGTGACAAACTCCTGAGATCTGTTGCTTTCTCCCATCAGCCGTCTCTATCTCGAATAAGTATGACCTATCGAGTCCCAGTCCAACTTGCTCTGCCAGATCCTCGTCTATAATGATAGCCTCACTGCCGTTATCGATCACAGCATCTAAAACCGCTCCGTCGTTTAGGATCGCTTCCACGGTCCCACTACCAAGTATGTAAAACTTGTCTGGAGACACACCTTCCATCCCATCAAGAAGAACTGTCGCCATGCGATCTGCTCTAGCAGTCACCTCCGATACTGCTGCAGTAGGAGCATCCGCCTCAGGGGCCACCTGAGCGTCCTCTGATAGAGGTATGCGAGTCTTTCGCGTGATCATCTGTAACTTGTCACGAGCCGGCTTGGATGCTGCCAGATATTCCAGAATAGAGCACTGCATGGGCTGCTGAAGGGCCCGTCCCAGTGGCTCGACCGTGTCAATCTCATCCAGCGAACTCTTCATCAAGAACTTTTTCACTCCCTGCTTTCGCGGTGAAAGAATAACCTCCTCTCCATCAATCCGTTGTCCATCATTCTCTGCCATCACGTAATCTGTATCGGTCTTCCTTGATGTAGACCCCCTCGCCGACTTGGTAGCTCCCACCCTTATGGGTGTGGTTGGCATATCTCCTTCGAAAGTTATCTTGATGCTCTGGCTCCTAACCGGCTCCTTTCCTTTACTCGGCTTTACTCTCCTTGCTTCAACATTCTCCTTCATCGAAGGGAACATTGATACGTCTCCTAGATCATCTGCCCACTTGACGTACTTGCGGTCATCAAGCACGACAAATCCCTCATCTATTGCCTATTTGAGATGGGCAGTGTCTCTTGATATGATCATCCCCTCTACACTAGACGCAAGAGTTCCTGGGAGTGGATGACCTGTCGTCTGCGCTTCTAGAGATTGAACCCCTGGCCGCTCTGGGGTCAAGGGACTTCGGATACGGATTAGATGACGAGCCATATCCCCCTCTCTCATTCCGTCCGCGTGAATCATTTCTGTGATCTCCTTCAGACCCTCCTTGCTCATTTCGCCCCCGTGAGTCATTCCGGAGGTCTCCATGGTCGTATCGCCCATGTGACTCATCGCGTCGATCTCCTCGGTCGTACCACCCCCGCGAATCGTCGTGCTGTTCTCTCGCGAATCCCCCGCGGTCATATCGTTCGCGCGAGCCATCTCGTCGGCCTCTGTCTCGATCTCCTCTCTCATATCTTCCACCCTTGTATCCATCTCGATCCGACCTCTCATATCTGTCGTCCCTACAACCATCTCGGTCCGATCTCTCATATCTGCCATCCCTGTATCCGTCTCGCCGTCCATGATCTGACTCCCACCGGCCGCGAGAATCGCCTCTACCCCCATCAGCCTCATAACGAGGGCTACGCGAGTAATCATCCAGTCTCCTAGCTCGTCCATATGTCTCGCGAGTCCTGCGGTCCCGGTCCATCTCATCATCCCTTCGTCGCCATGGCTCATCGTCTCTCTCCCTTTCCCTCGCATGATAATCAGTTAGCGTTCGAGGATTTTTATCCTCGACACTCCTCCAGGAATCGGTGTTCCTACGGTCCCAGCGAAGTGAATAGGGTTCTCCGGGTTTGTCCCAGTAAGTCGTGGCTCCTGTGCTGGTCACAATCTATGTAACCTGTTTTGTCAATCCCTTTACCATGTCCCTTATCTCCTTCACTTACTCAGCCACGGCTTCATTCTTTTCCGACCAGGGATAGTCCTTAAGATCAGGACATCTATCAGTGGAATACTCCTTACAGAGAGAGAAGTCACGTCTCCTCATTCCCCTCCATACCAAGTCCTTGTAGTCGTCTGCCTCTGCCTTTATCGCGAGCTTTAGGACTTCAGGGAAGTCAAGCTTGTCGCGCGGGAGATCTCTAAGTATGCTCTTTTGTCTACCTTTGGACAGGTGTCCAATGAAGATTGTACGACGCTCGACTTCTGAGATTTTCCCCTTCTTCATCAGTACGTCAGAGATCTTCTAAAAACGCTTCCCGAACGCCCGTACGCTCTCGTCCTCATCTTGAGTCATAGTCTCAAGGTCCTTGATGGAGTACTCGTTATCTTCTAATTTGTAAAGCTCAATGAGGTTCTTCTTATACGTAGTCCATTTCCCATCCTTCGGCCGGGCTTCCTTTACTTCTTTGCCGAGACTTGGATCCACATTAAATAGGAAGTTCTCTATAATCTCTTCCTCCGACCACTGACTCCGGCTAGCATGAAACTCTCACTTCTCCAGATATTCTGTGATACCATAGCCCCTGAAAGTAGGAGGCTCAGAGGCCTTGTGCGTAATAATATAGCGGTCCTTGCTCTCGTAAGGAAGACGATGTGACTACCCCGTCTGGGGGTCGAAGACACGCCGGGGCGGTGCTCTATCCCTGTCTCTGTCCCTCCAATAGGAATCTCGTGAACTCTCTCTCCAGTCGTCCCCGTGCCTATCCGCCCTGGTTTCTCTTCGTTCATACTCGGGGGAGCATCGTGTCGTCGCTTTCCGTCAAGCGCTCGAAGTCCCAGTCTTCAAAGTCTCATGCGGCTCTGTCACGACCAACTCGCCCATTACGTTGGGTTCTCCGTCGTTGGTTTGGTCAGCCCATCGCAGCAGTGCTCCCTGCCTAATTTGTTCCTTCAGATCCCTCAGTGCTCGGTCGGGCGATGTCCTGTACTCCTCCCCTGCTTCGCCCGTGGTCGGTTGTGGCCCCATTGTGCCTGGTTCCATAGGCTACCAGAAGTTGTAGCCCGACACTTACGCCAGGCGTTACAGCCCGGACCTATGACAGTTGCAGCAGCCCGGACCTGTGACGGAACTCGCAGCAGCCCGTACCTGTGACAGAACTCGCAGCCCGGACTTGTTTACTTTTCACTGTTCGCGCTCGTCTCTAATACTAGCTCTCGACTGCCCCGATTACCGCCACCAGTACTCCGTTCCGGTCGCGGACCTCGTGCTCACCTTCTATCCCAAGAATCCCTGTGTCTATGTAAACCTCTCCTTCGGGATCTGCGAACAAGGTCGCGCCTCTCCTGATCCGCACTACACCCGTGACAGGATCTCTACTCCTGCTGCAGATCGCAGTCCCAAGCCTAACCAATGTCTCCTGACTGACACCCCTCAAGAATCCTCGAGCGTCTATCTCCGTCCTCCTCACTAGATCATCTAGTCCGTCCTGAATCGTGTAGCCCGCAAACGAAGAAAACTCTCCTCCTACTGCCATCTAAAACCGCCCATCTGACCTCACCGACCTCCATTTATCTTTCCAAGAGCTTACAATCTCTGTTTCTCCTCCTCTAACTCCCAGACAGCTTCAAGACCATTTGTCTAGCATCTGAGGAGAGTTAGTGCTATAGCCGCTCGTATTCCCATCGCCGACAACTCCAATATTTCATAGAACGTCTCAAAATCTTCCTCATCTCCACTATCCTCTATGGCCTCTAAAGTCTTTATCGATTCCTTCCAGTATCGGTCGTGAGCAGCTAGCACCCTGAGTATCGCTCCATTTACTACAACTCTCCCTAGCTCCCCAGCTCTCCTGGCTTCGCTTATCTTCAACCTCTCAGTCTCTCTGGGCGTCTCGTACCACGCCCTTATCAGAGGTCGCCCATCGAATGGTGTCGTGCGTAGTACGTACTTTATCCTTCGTCCTCCTTTCACTCCAATCCAAAGTCCTGTTCCCCTAGCCTCTCGCAGCGCACGGCGAAAACACTCTGCCTCTTCAACTATGTACAACCTGGTATGGAGTTGGAGCTCTGCGATCACTAACACCAACGGTCCATCCTGTCTCCCTACCACATGCAATGAGTACCTGTCCGTCGTGTATAATGCAGTCCCGCTCATGCCCTGCTGCTATCCGCCTGCCTTACCTTGTCCTCTGTTGTTACGTCCTCTACAGACTTTTCCTTAGCTCTCTCGCGTGATAGGTTCCTCGCATTTACCCTCTCCACAAAGCATGATCTCCACGCCTGGATAATCTCTCTATCTTGGCGAAAAAGACTCTCTAACTCTCTCGTCGCGAGCTCGACCCTACGCAGCTTGCCCTCATCTTGGCACGAACTGTTCTCCATTATCCTGTTTCCCAACTCCTTCACCTGGTTCAACAGTGGTTTTTTAATGCGCTTTCTTACTCTTCGGACCGCATCACTCTCCTCTTCCATACTCTGTCCACATCTCTTTCCAGCTCATTTTCATACCCTCGCTCTAGCCTCTGCTACTGTCTCATCGAGGTAGTGCTCCACACGCATATAACCATGAGACCATACCATCAAATCATAGGAAATTGAGGTCAGGAAGGTCACCTGCGCCAGTACATCAGCTCTATTCTCGCGGATCAAATCCATGGCTCGTAGTCGGCACTCCCTCACCGTCAAGTCCTCATCTATGTATGCTCGGAAGTGTACCATCACAGTGTACCCTGTGCTTACCAGTTGCTTATCTATCCGCACCACAGTTGCCGTTTTCCCCGGCATTCCCTAAGTTGGGACCTCGAAGAGAAACCTCACATCTTCGAGCCCCACAAAATCAATCTCCGCTCGTCTCCTGCAGTACCTAATCAGATCGACTAGCCTCAGATAGTCCACCGAGCAAGTAACGTTTATGATGTCGTCAAGCGCCTCTCTGCTGGGTGGCCCCCACCTTACACAAATGGCGTAGTACGCTTCCCTGAAACGGGGAGCTAAGCCCTCCCAAAGCGCGTCAAGTGTGTGGTCCACTGCTACACTCAAACGGTCTACGCTCCCGTAGGTCTGCCCTATTAAGAACGCAGGAAGTCCAAATCGCCAACCCTCTCTCGGGTAGAGGGTCGGATGCAGAGGTCCGTATACCAAGCGACTCCAGTACGACCTTCCTCCAGAGAGTCTTGCCAGTTGCTGATTAACGATCACTCTGGCCAACAACTCGTTTCTCCACCAAGCTCTGCTAGCCCCTGCGAGTGTCAGACCCTCTCCCCTCTCTGCATCCACCTTCCATGTCGCTGTTTTCCTAATCCGCCATCGGTCTATATGGGAGAGCGTGCGAGCACTGCGCACGCCTTGCACACCAAGCTGCCTCACGTTCCTCTGTCCTCCTTCACTGGTGTGATCCCCCGCCGAGAACCCTTGGCACACATCTCACCGCGAGTACTCCCTATCCCCCAACCGGGCTGTATGGAAGAGAGGGTGAGTTAGCGGAGTACACCTGGCTCGCCGCGCCTGTCTTCACCTAGTCCCCCTCAGTGCATAGTGTCCCCCGGGTACATCACGCATACCCCCCTTTCTTCCCTCGCTGCCACCGCGCGCATTCGCCTGTGCCAGCTCGCCCGTTCCCAGCGCGTTGAAACCCAGACTACGTTGCGGGCGGGGAACGCCTGACACTCGACCCTGAGTCTCTTCCTCCCCGCTCCCATAACAACCCGCGTCTCCGTGCAAGAGTGCTCGACACGACTTCCACAGCTCCCAGTGTAACAACCTCTGAGGACGTCCGCCACGTACACCGTGCACGCACCCTCTCCCAGTTTGACCTCCCATTCTCGGAATCCCCGTTTGCTTTCCCCGGTCCCTTCCATATACCGTATGAGACGTGGCCCTCACGAAACCCCGGCCCTCAACAGTACCCAGGGTTCCAGCTCTCGACAGGTAGCAGACCAATCCCAAGGCTCGTCTCTAGGGCGATCTGGAACAACAGCCTGAGGCCCAATGCCATACATAGGACAACAATCAGAAACTAATAGTGTCGGCCGAGGCCCGCTGCCTCGCTGCAGAAATCAAGATAAAGGGGCCAAAGTAAGCGCGAAAGAGTCACACCGAAAATAAGAGGAAGCGGGGTCTGGACGACGCTAATCCAGTGAATTGCACCTTACTAAGCTCATAGAACGCTGTCACCATGGCATCCCCATGCAAAGCCAATGACCTCATGCCAAATACTAAACCTTCCTTGTCGTGCCAAGGATACTGCGTACCCTGTGGTCGGGATATCCCGATACCGATCCAATCCCGATCCATCACCGAACCTGAAACAAGCAGATGCCGAGGTAATACCGTACCAGAATACTATCGCTGTAATGATGCGGAGTCTGAAATAAATTATCGTAATGGTCCCGAACTTGAAAACGAACCTGAATAGATCACCGGCCCCGAGCCTGAAATAGACTGTCGTAGTGGTTCCGAACCTGAAAATGATTCACCATAGTGTCCCCAAACCTGAAATAACCTGCTGGGGTTGCCCCGAACCTGATATTGAGTCACGCCGATATGTCCGAGCCAGAAATAAACGACCGCAAAAGTCCCGATCCTGAGATAGACCGTCGTAGCGGTACCGAACTTGAAATCAAAGCACCCCAATGGCCGTAAACCTAAAAATATGTCATCGTAGTGACTTCAAGCCTGAAGCAACTGACGCCGAGCCCATACCGAACCAGGAACACGTTGGATTCCGTAGGTCGCAGCCACTCCGTAACAATACCGAACCTCTTCGAATCATGTATCCGTTCCGAGTCAAATACCGTAATGTCGATCCAAGGTAGCACTACCCCATGCTGTGCATGCAACTCCCGCTCTCA